TTCTCTACACTGAATTTCATTATGTTAGCTAGGGCCCAGCGTTCAAGTCTGTTGAGATCCATTTGGATCTTGAGCCTAGTTTCTGGGGTGTTGGCTATTCCTGCCAGTTTAGTGTCAACCAGAACACACACATGAGCAGGAGATCTCACATTTTTTTCAACAGTGGAAAATATGCAGACCAAAATACAGGTTTACAGATAGTCCTTGATGTACAACCACAATTGACCCCAAAATTTACTGTCAAGCCCCTGTGGGCTTGCCATTAACGGGAGGAGGGAGGAGGGGACAAGACCATCGGATGGAGGTGTCCGGAGGCAGTGGATGGGACCAGCAGCATAGATGGCAGCAACATCTCTTTCTCTCCCCCATTCCTGTCTGCTGGAAGGGGGACTCTGCGGAGCGCAGCTACAAGGCCATCCCGCCGAACAACTTAGCGGCGCGGAGAAGCGGCGGAGAACTGAACGCTGAAAGCCTGCCTCGTTTCCTTGCCTTGCTGCCCTACTGGCACGCACGCCGGATACTGGGTGGGGGGTGGGGGCGGCTCGGAGGCACCTATTTAGAGCACTGGGAGGCAGTTGCTCCCAGCGCTGACTTTCTTTCTGTTCGTTGGAATCCCGCATGCCAGAGCATTCCAGACATAAACCAGCCACTTGTGACCATTAACGGCTTGTTTCTTGTTGGAGTCAGGGGTGTGGCAAGGCTGTCTGACATTTACGTTGCTAAGCGAGATACTTGTTAAGTTGAGTTTTGCCCCATTTTACAACGTTTCTTGCCACAGTTGTTAGGTGAATCACTGCAGTTGTTAAGTTCGTAACACGACTGTTAAGTGAATCTGGCTTCCCCATTGACTTTGCTTGTCAGAAGATCACAAAAGGTGATCACATGATCTCAGGACACTGCAACCATCATAAATATTAACTACTTGCCAAGAGTCTGAATTTTGATCACATGACCATGGGTTATATGTCAACGCTGCTAACATTGGATGTTTTTTACGTTGACAACAGATGGAAATGTAGCCCTCTTTTTCCTTTTGCTTTTAGAGTTAGATCAGCGGTTCTCAACCTATGGGTCGCGACCCCATTTGGGGTCGATTGACCATTTCACAGGGTCACCAAGCAAGGCTGTCCGCCATTTTTTTTCCCTTTTCCGGTGGGTGCCTTACCTCCTTTGAGCTGGGCCAGCTGGTGGTTGTCCTGCTCCGTCTCTGCCGTTTGCCAGCTACGCCTCGGCCGGCGCAGGGGGCGGAACCATGCATGCGCGGCGCTCCCGGGCAGGGAAAGTCCTCAACGTATGACCGGTTGGGTAGTCCTCGACTTTCGACCGGTTTAGTCCTCGACTTACGACCGGTTTAGTCCTTGACTTACGACTGGTTGGGGGTCGCGGCATTAAAAAGGTTGAGAACCACTGAGTTAGATGATGTTGGGAGGGGGGATGTGAATGAGAGTCTAGACATAACATACCAAACCTAGCGTGAGAAACAAGGGTATTGTAACCAGAACTGATAAGAATTTGGCGGGCTGGAGAACTGGAGAGGAAGCCCGAGCTTCAAGCTAATTGGGGAATGTGATTTATGACTGTTAATTAGAGGAGGGAATTGTCCTTTGATACTATGTGCTCAGGGGAGGGGAATCCAGTTTTTAGCTTTGATTATGCACTGCCGATGTTATGCTACTCAAAATAAAGATTCTTTAAGGTAAACAATACCTCAAAGTTCTTTTGAAGAGTTTCATCTGTCAGAACCATGACAATGTGAAAAATAGTCATAAGTCACTTTTTTCAGTGCCGTTGTAACTTTGAATGGTCACTAAGTTGTGAATGCTCCAACATTGGAAGTTTTTAAGAAGAGACTGGACAATCATTTGCCTGAAATGGTATAGGGCGGTGAACATACCTAATTCTTTCCTCCTCTTTTCCCTACAACAACAACCCTGTGAGGTGGGATGGACTGAGAGAGAGAGAGAATGACTTGCCCCTAATCACGTAGCCGGCTTTCATACCAAAGGCAGGACTTGAATTCACTGTCTCCTTGTTTCTAGGCCAGCACCTTATCTACCATATCAAACTGGTTCATCCTTGGAAATGGCTACATTCAGCCCAGACAAAAACAACAACAACAACAACAACGATAATAATAATAATAATAATAATAATAATAATAATAATAATAATAATAATAATAATAATAATAATAATAATAAAGTTGGAAGGGACCTTGGAGGTCATCTAGTCCAACTCCCTGCTCAGGCAGGAAACCTATACCATTTCAGACAAATGGCTGTCCAGTCTCTTCTTAAAAACTTCCAGTGTTGGAGCATTCACCGCTTCTGGAGGCAGGTTGTTCCACTGATTAATTTTTCTAATTGTCAGGAAATTTCTTCTTAGTTCTAGGTTGCTTCTCTCTTTGGTTAGTTTCTATCCGTTGCTTCTTGTCCTGCCTTCAGGCACTTTGGAGAATAGCTTGACTCCCTCTTCTTTGTGGCAGCCCCTGAGATATTGGAAAACTGCTATCATGTCCTCCCTCGTCCTTCTCTTCGTTAAACTAGACATACCCAATTCCAGCAACTGTTCCTTATATGTTTTAGCCTCCAGTCCCCTAATCATCTTTGTTGCTCTTCTCTGTACTCTTTCTAGAGTCTCAACATCTTTTTTACATTGTGGTGACGTTCCTCCACATAACCTCCTTGACCCGCCCCTTTACTGCAGGGGTCTCCAAACTTGACTGTTTAAGACTTGTGGACTTCAACTCCCAGAATTCTGGGAATTGAAGTCCACAAGTCTTAAAGTGGCCAAGTTTGGAGACCCCTGATCTACTGGTTGTGTCTTCATAGCAGCCAGTCCATCTTGCTGCCAGTCCACAGCTCGAAGAGATTGCAAACGTTCATTACATCACTGCAGCCATCATAAGTGCGAGTGAGTTGTCAAACATCCAAATGTAAATTACATGACCATAGGGATGCTGCAATGGTCATAAGTGTGAAAAATGGTCATAAGTTACTTTTTTCAGTGCCGTTGTAAGTTCGAATGGTTTATTTAATAATAATAATAATAATAATAATAATAATAATAATAATAATAATAATAATAATAATAATAATAATAATAATAATAATAATAATAATAATAATAATAATAAAAGTTGGAAGGGACCTTGGAGGTCATCTAGTCCAACCCTCTGCTCAGGCAGGAAACCCTATACCATTTCGGACAAATGGCTGTCCAATCTCTTCTTAAAAACTTCCAGTGTTGGAGCATTCACAACTTCTGGAGGCAGGTTGTTCCACTGATTAATTGCTCTGTCAGGAAATTTCTCCTTAGTATGAAATGAACTGTACTTGTACTTGTACTTGTACACACACACACACACACACACACACACACACACACTGTTACGATACCAAGTTTATTTACCAGCTGTTCAAAATTCATGTGTGCAATTTACAGTGTGAAAGTCAGAACATGTTTACAACCACGGGCGGTTCTGAGAATTTCAAGAACATTTTCTAGGTTGATGATCAGCCAATTTTAAAGGGAGAAAGAGTGGAATTTGAGAATCTTTTCCCAAGGGCTGCTGTTTTTCACTCTCTATTGTCAGTATTGATGAGGTAAGCATGTGGTGCATGATTCAGGGAGTAAAAATGTGATGTAAATGCTGAGTCAACAGAACTAGGAGGCTGCTTTGGAACGTGCCCAATATTTTCCTTTGTCAGCCTATGAAAAACAGTTTTCAGAGCCACATGGAACATCCTTCCTTCAGCACTTTTGTAGGATAAACATTAAAATCCCACCAACAGAATAAACTTATCCAGTTTTTGGACAAGTTCTCAGTATTTGGAATAGATATACCCAGATCAGGGGTGGGGAACAATGGCCTCTTTATGACTCATGGACTTCAACTCCCAGAATTCCATTTCTGAGCCAGGAATTTTGGGAGTTGAAGTCTACGAGTCATAAAAGGGCCATTGTTTCCCACCCCTGACCTAAATGATGAATTTACAGTAGGAAAATAAAAAACAATTTAACAATGAATAAGATGAAAATGGATGAATTTTTGGACTGTTTATTTTTACAAGCATAAGCATAATTATTTGTAATCTGCCATTGAGGCCTACTCTGTATTCCATTTTGTATTCGAGCCTATGTGCAATTTGTCTGAGAAATCATTGTTTTACAATTTTATGAGCGTGTGGTTGCAGGGACCTATCTCTTACCTAAATAAAAATCCTTGCAGAGCAGGTTTGTGCTAAAATCACCCTTTGTGGTTTTTTAAATTAATTTCAAGTCAATAACAGAAAGATAAGATCAAGATAGTGTTGAAAGAAAAATAATCAGGTCCAGTCCAAGCCGGGAATAAATAAATTGGAGGCTGTTTGGAAAGAAGGTTCTGTTTATTGAAGAACAGAACCAACAAAACCAATGTGGTTCTTGGATAACTGACCAAATGGAGTTGGGATAGGTGGGCTTTTATACCTTCTTTGGGGTTTTGTGTTTGGAGTTGTTCCTGTGCTTGTGCAATGTACTTTGAGCTTGAATGTGCCCTTTTGATATTCTAATAGTGGTGGGTTAATCCTATTATGTTCTAAAGATTATGTTCCTGTCCTGGAGTCTTTGTTTTTCTAATCCCATCAGCTCAAACCTTCTCTGGAATCAGACATTGCATAAGAAGATTCTTTCTACAAAATCCACTTTCTCTGTATGTGGTGCATGCAATCTACTCCTTAGCATAAAACATTTAGGATCTTCCTTCCAGATTTTTATGGAAAGACTGAAAAAAACAAGTTGCTTTAAAGAATGGCAGAGAAGGACTATTATTGCACATGTAATTATGCAACACCTGAAATACATTTTTCAAATCATTTCCAGAGCATGCATCACTCTAAAATTATATATAAGCTATGCTCTCTGATATTTATCTCTTGTGGTTACCATTTATGGGGAATTTAAATTAAAATCAACACATATGAATGCAGCTATTATTTTTTCCATGAAAAGCTTTTTACTGTGCTGATGGTGTAGGGAATAAAGACAAAAATCTTGGCAAGAGGTCATGTTTGGGCTTCCCTGGGCATGACTTTGATCCCTCCGGGAAAGGTTGTATTGTATGTTTTCCATGTCTTCCTTGGTCAGGCAAAGGATGGTCAAGAAAGTTGGCACCAGGAGCTTGGAGGACATCGTGTTCATTCAAAATGGGAACGTGATGGACCGAGCCCACACTACTATGATGGAAAGAATCTTGATCTTCTAAGGACTGGCTTTCTTCTCTTTTATATGCAGTGTCATTAGACCTGTGATGATGGTGGTGGCAGCGATGCCAGTGGCCACATTTAGGAAACCTCCCACATGGCCGTGGGTGATGATCAACTGGTCTATGAGGAAAAGGTCGGGGAGGTGGGGGCCCAGGAGGTGGTGGAGGATATTTACTAGGAGGAAGATGATGGGGACCACCGGGAGGAGGAGGAGGATATTGGGGCCCTGGAGGAGGGGGAATGTCAGGACGTTCCTCTTGTGTCTGCTCAGAATTATGGTTGCCCTTGGGACCTGCAGGACCAGCTTGATAATGGCCAAGAATTGGTGGGTCTCTATACTCTTGGAGGTGTCCAGGATGGTGAGAGTGATTGTGGTGGTGATGATGATGATGATGATGATGGGGGTGACGATGATGGTGATGACGGGGGTGATGAGGGTGACAATGATGATGATGATGGTGAGAAGGATGATGTTCATGTAGCCGATATCTGCATTCATGCCCAGTTACATTGCAATGATGATGGCTTTCTCCTGAATCATGGTGGAAGTGGTGAGGATGATGATGAGGGAAGATGCTGAGAGTCTTTGCAAAGGAAGTTAAAAGAACAAGCCATCATTTGTGATTGTATGGAACACAAATGAGAATTAGAAAAAAGAAACCAAGTTAGTTTGGTTTGCTGTGTATTTGTGAATGTGTGTAACACATATTGCAAGAAAAATGTAAAATACCTAAATCAAAGTAATATATCGATAAAAAACTCCCTTTTTACTACCCTGTAATCCTATAATTTGGGGTAGAGTCAGGGCAACTGACCGGAGCTGAGTGTTTACTGGCCAGATGCCCTTCCTGATGCCATGGGGAGATCGCAGCAAAAGTATTTAATAATACACTTAAATATATAAATGAAAAGATACAGTATATGAAAGTATCTCACAATCATTGGTCTGTTTACTATTACATTTGTCATATGGGATTGAACTGAATGATCTGATTATGAGGTATTGCACCACTTTTCAAATGCAGATACGAATTACAACCACGGTTGAGCCCAAAATTTCCATTGCTAAGCGAGGTAGTTTTTAAGTGAGTTGTGACCTTTTTTGCCACAGTTGTTAAGCAAATCACTGCAGTTGTTAAGCGAATCGTGCAGTCATTAAGTTAATCTGGCTTCTGTCATTGATTAGCTTGTTGGAAGCTAGCTGGGAAGGTTACAAATGATCACAAATGACCCAGGGACAGTGCAACCGTCATAAATACATGCCAGTTGCCAAGTCTCTGAATTTTGATCATGTGACCGTGGGGATGCTGCAACGGTTGTAAATGTGAAAACCGATCCTAAGTACTTTTTTCAGTGCTGTTGTAACTTTGAACGGTCGCTAAACAAATGATTGTAAGTTGAGGACTACCTGTAGTCCTTGAATTACAGGTGCATTTGGGACTGGGTGATGTGGTTGTACAGTGTGATGTCATGTGACTGCATTCTTAGCAATGGCAATCCCAAGCAGTCCTGGTTGCTGTTGTAACCCCAAGATTCGTGGGTTGTTAAGTGGGAAGCAGTGGAAGTTCAGGTAAGGAGTGCAGTGGTGACTCAAGGTTTGTTGTTGGGAGTGTGGGAGGCTGTCGAAGGCTCTGGGAGGGCTGGTGTAAGCTGTGTGTGGATGGGGTGGTCTGGGCAAGAGAAAAAGTGAGAGTAACTTACTGGAGCAACTGGTGACCTTGCCTGTTGGCTTTCCGATTGTCTTTGCTTGTGGAAATAGCAATAGCAACAACATTTAGACTTACATACCTCTTCACAGTGCCTTATAGCACTCTCTGGGTGGTTTACGGTGTCAGCACATTGTCCTCAACAATCTGGGTCCTCATTTTACCGATCTCAGAACAATGGAAGGCTGAGTCAACCTCGAGCCAGTCAGGATCAAACTCCTGGCAGTGGGCAGAGTTAGCCTGCAATACTGCATTCTAACCACTGTGTGTCACCAGGGCTCTAGAAAGCCAGCAGGGAAAGTCACAAATTGTGATCGTGTGACTATGACTCTCTCTCATGTCATCCTTGCAATCCAGGCATCCTAGTGTCCCAATTGTGATCACATGCCTGCTGGGGTGCTATGATGGTGAGAACTTTGAGGATCACTTGTACGTCCTTTTTTTTTTTCAGCACTGCCATAAGTTTGAATGATCACTGAATGAATGGGCACAAGCCGAGGACTACCTGTTTCATCTGTTTTACGGTAATAGTGTACTTTCCTTATTTGGCTGATACCGGCAGGGAGGTAGGAGATAGGAAGATGAGAGAAATCTGGGGATCCAGTGTGACTAAGGCTGCAGTCTCTTGGGAAAAACCTGAGTTGTGGGTAAATTGTAAACTCCTCCCCTTTTTGAAAAGACTTTTAAAGAGGAGACTGAGATTGTTCTGCATGCTGTGATTCATATTCCTGCTGATGGCTACCATTGCCCTTAAGGCTATGTGTTTTTCCTCAAAGCTGTTAAATCATTTGCACTCTTACCTGAATATCATAGATTTCACAGGAGTCTACTTGAACCACATCTGGGCTTTGTGTCTCTTTAACAATTCTTCCTATGCAAAATCCCAGATTCTACAGAGAAAAAGAAATGATAACACTTACGATAGTATTGAATTTTCTAAATTTGATACATATGTCATCTTTCTCTCTCTCCCCTCCCTCTCTCCCTCCCTCCCTTTCTCTCTCCCTCCCCCTCTCCCTCTCTCTCTCTCTCTCCCTGTCTCCCTCCCTCTCTTTTTCTCACCCTCCCTCCCTCCCTCTCCCTCCTTCCCTCTCCCTCCCTCTCTGTTTCTCCCTCTCC